AATTCGGGACTGGATGCGAAATCCGGCTCCATTTTGGTCCCGAATAGTGATCATTCGACCGAAAATCTTATCACTGTAACTCCGGAAGAAGTGAACAATATTGTGGCTGCAGCGGCTGACGAGCCGCCACACTTCGTTCATTCCGGTGTAGATGAGCAAGATATACGCGCATTACAAGCCGAACTTATGGAATATACCGATCGAAGAAAAAATCGAAGTATACTCAAGGGAACTCGTCTTCCGCGGAGGAAAGCTCGTCGTAATCCAGGTGCAGCTGGTGAATCAGTTGGCTTAGTGATTGATGGAATGAGTTTGACTCATGCGTTACAAGTAAGTACTCGATCTTGGATATTTTGCTGTATTTCTAAATACTCGTAATGTGACTTCCAGAAAAGTTAAGTGAATCCAAACCATTGGGAAACAGAAACTTTTGGTGGAAGAAAAATCCACTAACTTAAGGGGAGATGTACTTCAAAACCCTATGGACCAAATACTGATTTACGCATGCTACGTTTTATTGTGATTTGTAGGTAGGAATTTACTGTATGAATATGTCTAGCGCTTTTCTGATCTTAAGCTGTTACTCTCTGTACATTACCGTCCCACCCCCCGAAAGAAAACGGGCGCACTGATCAACAGTGAGTCAGGCGCACATGCCCATCCAGGGAATCAAGTTCGTGGCAAAAATACCTATGTTTTGTGTAAAACAGGTGATATTCATTCAGCTGCTTACCATAATTCGTATTGAGTTTTCTGTATCAAACTGAACTACTGGGTACCACAAACATTAGCCAACTAGTTCCACCAACTGAAATACGGAATTAGAGTGGACGAAAGATGTAAGTTTTTTTTTCAATACACATAATGGACGATGCTTTCATGACGCGCATCTGTATATATTGTCTTACATGTTTATATGGCTTTTGGTCATCCAGCCTAAGGTTGGCGGACTGTCAATCTGATTGTTGTTGGCTGTCGGATTCCAGGTAACTGTTGCTGGCAATTTACAAGCTTTTGCGTGCGGGTGGGAGTCGAATACCTCAGCACGCAGTGTAAATTGTAAGCGATTTCACAGTGATATATTGTTTGTTTTCGAGTATATAATTAAGAGAAAGTCAAAGAAACTACTGGCTCGGTAATTCCGTCTTGTTGGAACGCATTAACAGTGTGCACTCCTTGATCTTTTCCGTCGTGGGACCCAACTCACAACTGTTCGAACTGGACTCAATGCTCTATATATCCTGAGCTACACGATCAACAGTCAGCACTTCCAGTTCGGGGGTTATATTTGCTTGCAATTTTGCATTCATATTAGCCCATTCGGTTTTTCAGGCACGTTCAGTTCAGTACAGTTTTGTACAACCATTAACCATACACTATCGGGTGCCGGTTTTGGTTGCTATCCTTTGGGAGCCCATTCGGATGCACATTAGGAGCAACACAAGAAAGATTGAAGGTAGGACCGAAAAGAAGATCTAGAATTTCAGTGTACTAATATTACAGAGAAATCGAGAAGATACACGACACTCTGTGAGCTACACGGGATGGGTTTTCACAGCCTTAGATCCAATCATGCCTGAAAGATTAAATGGTAGAGGCCAGATAAAGCTCAGTCTCACAAAGCCAGGTGTTTGGGCGCCCCCTGGCTTCCTTCGTTTATCCACATTCGCCCCTGGATAGGTCACTCCAGGTAAAAAAACAGTTAGGGGACAATTACGGGTGAAAAGACCACTAGAGGGCCGTAGGAGCTTCGTACCTGGAGATTCCTCTCAACGGTGGGTGCATTTTTCGATCTTCA